TTCCTAGCTATACTGGCTATGAATTACAGGTTTGCATTCCCACATACTGAGAGGTCAGGAAAGACTGAAGTAGATAATATCCTCTTTGGTACCCTTTTCTGTTTTCTCCCGCCACCTCCTTCTTTTAAATTTGGATTAAATTTATTTTATGTTTCTTTTGTTTAATTAACTAAAGAGAATACAGAAAGCCAATACTACTATCAAGTACTTATGGTTTATACTTAAACATTGTATGGTGGAAAGCAGACTGTAACCTTTAAGGCAGGCTTTTCAAAATCTGTGTCTGGAAAATCAAGAGAAACAAGATGGGAATGGGAAGGGAAAGCGGTTGACTAAGTAGCTGGATTTTCCTATTATAAAAGGAGTTTGCACCTGCCTAACTGTAAAAGAGTTATTTACTATATAATAATCTTTCTTTTGTACAGATAGCTGGAACTCATGCAAATTTGACTATATTTGACCAGAGGTTGATAATTACATTGTGCCTGGACAGGTAAAACCTTTGTTAAATTTTTAGTCCACTGTATCCCAACAGTTTCTTGAATTGATTAATTTAGTGTTTAAAAGTGTAAAGCTTAAAATAAAAATAAAATATAAAAAGGTTATGCTGCAATGGTATTATGGGACTGAAATCTATTATATGGAGAGCACCAGGTAGAGTAAGACTGCCTTAAAATGTAAATGAAGAAGAGATTGCAATATGCGTGGACTATTACGGCCTATGTACATTTTACCTCCCCTTTCAAACTGAACTATGAATAATTACTTTAACTCTCATGAAGGAAAATGTGCACAAAATTAGTCCTGATTGCTTAGAAAGAGGCTCAGAATTCAGGGACTAGATATGACTGTATGGCTCTACTGCTGGGAAATATTCATAGAAAGAACCATCATTAAACCACTGGAGTATTTGTGATAGTACATAGCACAGTTGTGAACTTAAGAGTAAGATGTAGTTAAAATATTAGTAAGAGCTAGCTGTGGAAAATAAACATATGGTTTGCAACCTGTACAAGGCTGAACTCTTGTTAATTCCACCCAGTTTAAGACAGACAGACAAATAGACAGACAGAGAGAAAGAAATCCCCAGCATTTCACCATTCCACTGCCAAACTCTTTTAAAAAAAACACTTCTCCGGTTCTTGTTACTCAGGCTCAAAGGGGAAACTTGGCAAAACTGTTGTCAATTTTAGCCAGCTAAAAACAAGGGAGTTAGGGCCTTTGCTGAACCTGTTTGAAAAAACAATAAAAGGGACAGTTCACCCTTTCTGCTGAATCTATTAAAAAAAGAAAAGTCCAGGATTTCACCAGTTGACTAGTGAGAAGGAAGGAAGGAAGGAAGGAAGGAAGGAAGGAAGGAAGGAAGGAAGGAAGGAAG